TTTTTTACAATGTTCTTAGTGCATTTGGAAAATGTTTTTTAAACCTTTGGTGTAAAGCAGTGTCTTTTTTCCCCCCATTTTCCCCCTTTTTTCTTTTTTTCTTTCCTTTTTTTGATTTTTAATAATTCTGGAGTCTTTGGTTGAAAGGAACAATACTACCTACGGACAAAATGCCATTATTAAAAAAAAGTCTTCTAGCATGTACTGTATGTAACAAATTTCTGGAGCTGGTATGAATAAGCATTTTTATTTTTTGTAGTGCCATCAATACAAACTTTAACTCTGTGAAAACTGAGATTTAAGTTGTGAACTTTGGTTTCTTTAATTCTGACATATCAAAAAACTCCATTAAGTTATCAATGGTCATTGATGCTTTTCCCAATTGCCATTTTTAAGGCTATTTCTTGGTTGTTACATTGACTACATGAACACCACAGCATTTCCCATAGATGGGGAGAGAGTTGGAGTGAGTGGGTAAGCAAGGGATTGTGTGTGTGTGTGTGTGTGTGTGTGGGTGGGTGTGGGTGTGGGTGTGACAGTATGTGTGTGATAGCAAATTGAAACCCTTCTGTCCGGGATTCTTAAACCATTTATGCAAAAGGATGTTTAAATTACTCTGCTGGGGCACTGCAGCAGTTGTACTTAATAAAAAATAAATAAAAATTGGTGGGTGTGGGTGTGACAGTATGTGTGTGATAGCAAATTGAAACCCTTCTGTCCGGGATTCTTAAACCATTTATGCAAAAGGGTGTTTAAATTACTCTGCTGGGGCACTGCAGCAGTTGTACTTAATAAAAAATAAATAAAAATTAAGAAAAAAATCCCTAAACAATTATTTGTATCTATTGACTATTCATTTACAGCATGTTTAATTATTTACATAATATTATTACACATCAACTTAAGCCATAAACAGAATTAGCACATTGCCTTACCATAAAATACAAATTAGAAGTTAAAAATATTTAAGAAATCTCTTTTAATATTTACATACGCTCGGTGAAAGTTATGGTTGCCCACATTACACGTACTCTGTACACTTAGCAAAATGGCATGATTGCTACAGTTGTGAGTATTTTGCCCTAACCAACATGGTGGGGTTTAGTTTCTTTTTTTCCCTTCCTCCCAGGAGGAATTTTTTATCATTTCTATTTTCTTAAGACATGTTTGTTTTTAGATTACCAATAGACAATGTTATTTGCTTCCTTAAGAAAGAGAGCACTCAGACAAGTAATGTAAGGACTAGTTAACATTTGATGTTCTGAGGTACAGTACTATTGTAATGTCCAACTGTGCAGTGGTTCATAAGAACTCTAGGCATTGATTTGCTGATAGAGAAATATTCAGTACCCTGTAATTCTTATTTCAATATGTTGACTGTTGGTTGCCAAATTAAAAATACTCATACACTGGTTTAATAAAGGAAAAAAAAAGTATTAGCTTATTCCTTTTGTTTTCCAACATATGAATGCATATATATGTATGTATGTTTACATGGATCTATATATACACATATATACATGTAGATATGTTGTAAGACTTCTTTTCATTGATGTTGTTTTGCTCTTTTTGTTGCTGAGTATGAAGTTAATCATAACACTGGAATACAGTTACCAACAGAAAATAGAAATCATCTTAGTTGTCAATTTAATGCAGGTCTTGTTTAAAATAAACATGATTCATTTCTCCATTATGCATTCCAGCACACTTTCTCTATGTGTTGTGCTTTTGTAAGCTGACAGATATTTTTGTGTTCCTAATGCTAGAATGTAAAGTCTTTTGGTTCATAAACCATTATTGTTATTATTATTATTTTACTTAGCACTGCTTTTGAAGAAATGAGAAGAGAAAAAGTCTAGATGGAACTGCTTGAGTCTTTTCCCCTGTTGTTAAATTGCAGTAGAAAGAATTGTAACATTCCTTATGCAAACACATGATCATGTTGCATGAGTTTTCAATTCTGAAATGCATTTCATATCTACTAGCAGTCATGTACAATACATATATACAGATTGAGATCAAAGATTTCATGTAGACTGTGCATTTTAGAGTCAGAATTTGCCTATGAATTTCACAAAGATGAAAAAACACCTTAATTGCTGGCTATCTGGCTGTTTTATAATCAAAAGAAAAACTATACATATTTATAAACTGATAGTAACACCGCACCAGAATTGCTAAAACACACCTTTGTGGTCCTTTAGTTTAACCACTGGATATCAAGCTGACTGTTCTTCCCAGACTTATCAGGACTAGCACCCCTCCATGCATTTGGCTATTGCATTCCAAGTCAACTAGAGTAAATATACAGTTTAAGAATAAATTCTAGATCTACCATTATTTCCGGACGGGATGAGTCAGTTGTCGCTACCTGTGTGGTTATCGAGTGCCAATATATGGTGGTCACTCTAGGGCATATGTTCTAAGGTCTCATTTTTTCTCCTTTGCCTAGTTTCTTCATGTCACTGAGAGCAGAAATGAGTTCCTGGTCATATGATCTTGAGACTCATGCTGTGAAGATACTTCTCTCTATTTTGATCTAGATCACTCTGTTGACTTTCCCGGACATCCAAAATTTTGTTGTAACCATAAATGACAATATCACAGATTTTTATGGCTTTATGATAACTGCAAATAAGAGCCCCCTTCTAGATTTGGGCTCTGAGCTGTCTCTAGAAAAACTTTCCAGAATGGCATTTTGGAGTTGTGCCCCTGAGTTATCAACATGCTCCTTCCCAATATTTTCTACTCAAATACCCCAGGCGACAAGGGGCAGGCACTTTTATTAGTGTGATGCCCCAAAATGACTGTTTAGGAGAAAGTGCATCCCTGGAGAAACATGAGAGATCTCTACTCTGAACCTAAGAGAAGAACCTCGGTCAGATTTTGCCCAAAGAGTATACTTAGAGGTGTCAAGCATGTAATAAAAAATAAGAGCCAGAATTCCCTACACTGGTGAAAAAAATTACCATCCCACTTTGGGGCAAATTCAGAAAGCTGAATGAAAAACTTTTTTGTTGTTGTTGACCTCTGAGAGTTGGAATTGAAGGGTAACAAGGCTCCATCATATTCCAAGCCACTGGGTCACTACAGGCAGACAATGGCCTTGCCTACTATGCACAATTAGAGAATATTACTCTGAAAAGAAGAGTGTGTTGTTTTTAAAACATATAGCAAAGTCATCCTCTAAGAAAAAGTTCATTCAAAACAAACTTTAAGGAAAATTTAGCAATTTGCTATTTTCTACAAGAAAAGCAAAATATGAGCCTCACATTGATAGAAATAAAATATATTAGCTTATTCTCTTTCCTGTCCAACATATGAATGCATATGTCCAATTAGTATAGAAAGAAGCACAATTACATAATTTAAAATAGAATAAAAACAATACATCCCGTCTGCCTGATTATCAGTTATATATTTTTCTGTAATATCAACTGAGGCTCATAACATGCATCATGTTAATGTGGCTTTGTTGTTATCCTATTTTCCATTAGTTTTCATATTTTTCTTGAATAGGCAGATTGCAACATATACAATGAAAGCACCCTTAAAAATCAACCCAAGGAATCCATAAATTAACTCTCTTTGTGTACATACTCTTTGAAGTATTGTTTGCTTTGAAAAATACAAAGGTGACTTCATTGCACATAAGAAAATATAGTTCACTCAATCTCTCCAAAGCCTTACTTTGTCTCCTAAGAATATAATCAGAATTTCAAAAGCAAGGAAAGCTGGAGAGTAGCATTAATCCTTTAAAGAAATGAACAAATCCTTCTTTTAAAATACCCTATTAAATTCAGAAATAAACTCATGAGGAAATGTTTCAGAGCAGCTGACATTGTTTGAGGAAAAGTAAATCTGTTAACTTTAAAATAAACTTGTTTGCTCTATATTTGTATATTTGACTCCCAATCTAACCTGAACATCTAATATACTTCTAATTTCCCTGACTTTTCTATTTCATGGTTGTCTCTTATTAGATAAACTATAAACACCTCTTTAGGTATGCTGTCAAAAGCTTGTGAGTTTGGAAAAAAAAAATCCCTTTTGCTCTACCATTTGCCACTGGATACACTATGTATAGACCAGATGCTGTATGGAGCTGATAAGTGCCATGCTTGCTTGCTGGCTTTAATTATGTTACAACAGTTATTTCTGGATTTTATACTCTGCCCTGCATTGTTAACTCTTATTTTAACCACCTAGAATATATCTTTTTAGCAAAAAATTCTTGTACTCCTTTGCATTATAATGTTCAGAAGTCTCCCTGTCTCTAAATGCCAAAATGAAAGACATCATAGTTGATTCCTTGTGCTCAAGCAGAGACTAGTTTCTGTCTTGACTCTCCCATCCTGCTCCAATTACATGAGAATCTTCTAGAATCCAGTGGGAATTATCTTCCCATGACACCATTATCACCTTAAGACGGGCAGAGACCATCTTCAAGTATCGTGTTTGCACAGCATTGCAGATAATGTTGCATAGGCACAGTGCCATCTCAACAGTGTGCCAACCTTAGGAATGCAGATGGGGAGTGTCTGGATATGACCACTTCTCAGGGAAATGACTGACAATGCTATTGAGCCTTCTAAGAATATCTTCTAAATAATTCCCCTTTGAGTAGACTGCATACTAAGCAGATAAAGTGAAACAGACTCAATCTTGCCAGCATGTGTGCAAATCACTTGCATTTTAACTGGAAAACCGCAAGGACCTCAGTGTATTCATTACTTAGCAGAAGCAACCCAAATGGTATGAAATGGACCACAGGATAGGCCAGCAACTAAGGTATTTTAGCATCACTTTTGTCCTGGATTGATGTGTTTTCCAAGTCCTACGTCAGTCTGTACAACTGGTTTGAGGAGGAATCTAGTCCTTGCTTCCTGTAAGAGGCCATGTTTTAGTTCACGTAATAAAGCCAATACACGATGTTGAAGAAGGAAAAAACCACTGGGAAGAATATGCGAGACCACCGATCTATGGCATTCACATCAGTCAAGTCAGGGATGGTGATTTTCAGCTGGGAGGCGCGTCTCCGCAGGCGACTTTTCTTTTGTGCCACATGTCGTTCCAGAGCATTTCGGCCAAAACTATGCCTGGGCAACCCCGCTTTCCGATACTGGATGCTGGAGGCATCATAGGCCAACATTGTGCTCCTAGGGTCTCCAAGTCCCATCACAGCCTCCGATGTGGTCATTTCATTTTTTATCTCAAGAGTGCTCAGTAAGATATTCTCATGGGGGTCCATCTGCAAGGGAGAAGAATCAAAAAAGACAATCAAAACATTAAGCCTTTATTGGTGCTTACTATACAAGGCACTATGACGCTTTAGGTAGTATTTATCATCATGGGAAAGAGGACTAGCTTTGAGGTTACATTACCTGAGTTTGAATTCTGGCTCTGACACTAAGTTACTTGAGTTTTAGTTTCTCAGTCTATTAAATAGTATAGTAATGCAACCCTAGAGGATTACTGTAATGATGTAATAGACTGTTGCTAGTGTCATTTTCCATTATTTCTACTTGGGCCATGCTGAGAAACAGAGGGCATGATGCCCTTTTAGAAAATTTATGGTCTTGATATGAACACATAAAAAATGAAACTGTACTAGGTGTTAAATAGTGTCAGGGTATTAATTACTGAATTGTGCTCACAATAGTAGTCTAATTATCAATGAATTAGTGACAAAACTAGAACTAAAATTAGGAGGCAACTATCAAGTACTTGCTGTATATACCAGGCACTTTTTTGTATAATTTCATTTAATTGATACTTCTTTCTCACAGTTATGAGATGGCAACTTAAATTTGCAATGTCAATATAAATGAGGTAAAGGAATATTTTTGAACAATGTAAATGCAGCTGGCCTGTAACTTGCCAAAATACAACAGAATTCAGAACAACAAGACATTTGAAGATAAGAGTGTAACAGCTAGACACTGTTGTGGAGGTGTGAGTGAGGGGAAGGACTGACTTGAGAGGGAAAGGAAGGAGCAGGTTCAGAGCTGACTGTGCTCAGTTGAACTCTGGATCTTGGGAATACAATTGACTTGGCTGTGCAGATAGTCAAGCCATCTCTCTTGGATGATTTCTTCCTGCAAAGCTAAAAGTAAAGAAAGAATACTGACATTATGATTTCTGAGTATTTAATTATTATATAATGTTTTTTGTTGTGTTAAGAAGGGAAGATTTTGTGTGCCTTACTATTAAGAAGCCTCAATTGCTACAGATAATAACACCTAGCTACAACAAATTATCATTAACAACAGAATATATTTATTTTGGTGGGAAATCAGGATATACAAATTGCCAGTAGAATCTCTGAAATTATGAAGTAAGGAAAAAATGGACAATGATAAATGCTGATGACATATGGAAACAAGGAATATAGCCAAACACTTAATTGGAAGACACAATACTCTTGGCTTCATGAATTATGCAGAAGGCAAAAAGAATGCTGCTAAGATTACATATTAACAATTAGCTTTCCAATGTGGTTTAATGGTTCTGTATTATAAATTCAAATATAAAGTCTTTTGAGAAATAGAAGCTATAAAATATGTTGAGACATAATAATTGACCAATTAATCACTGCTCACTGATCAGACATTCTGTATGTTTGGTTTATGGTACCATTTTGCTTGGTGGAAATACTAAACAGATATAGTATTAAAATTAATTTTAAAAGTTCATAAGATTTGGAAACTAAATAAATGTTGAAAGAGATCTGTCAAGGAAGGGCCAGGTGATGACTTTAATGAGGAGTTCTGTCACCCTAGGGAAGGAAAGTAACATTTAAAGGCCTGTGCCATATGCCAGGACTGTGCAGCAACTGTTTCACCGAATGCTCATGGAAAAGGTGATGGTAGGGCATTCACCAAATTTCCTAAAGCCACAGAGATACCAAATGGTGCAGCTGGAATTCAAGCGGTTCTGTCGCCCTAGGGAAGGAAAGTAACATTTAAAGGCCTGTGCCATATGCCAGGACTTTGCAGCAACTGTTTCACCGAATGCTCATGGAAAAGGTGATGGGAGGGCATTCACCAAATTTCCTAAAGCCACAGAGATACCAAATGGTGCAGCTGGAATTCAAGCCTTGATCATTAGAGTTGAAAGGCTGGGCACGGGGCGTGTATGTGTGTGCATGCACATGCGTGTGTGTCTTTCCAAGGAAAGCAAAACCAGTGGAAATGGCAAACCTATAGCTCCTCGCCATTTCAATGGTGTGTGCATTTTGGGTTCTTCTCCGGGTTGTTAACTTGTCCTTTAACTACTTAGAACATAGCTTTTTAGCAAAATTTCTTTGGCCACTACATGTGATGATGTTCAGGAGTCTCTCCCTCTCTAACCACGAGGATGTTTGCTTTTCAATTAAGCAGTAATAATAAGAACAGTAGTGACCTGATGCCAGACTGGCTGAGTTAAAAATATAAAACAATAGTAACAGCCATAATAAAAACTACTGGCAGCAATGGACTCCTATTAAGGGAAATGTGCTCTAAATTTAAAACAAATTATCCTTGGATAATTTATTTAATCTTAGTGTGTTTCTGTTTCATTATCTATGAAATTCATGAGTTGGATTAGATAATTGCTGAAGCCCTATGATATATTTATTTCTTCATTCATAAATTTTAAAAAACATTGACTGGACACCTACTGTGTGTCTGGCTCTGTGCCAGGCATTGTAGATAAGGGATGAGAAAGACAGCATCGCTGCTGGGTCCCCGTGGCACTATCAATCTCCAGAAAGAATATTGAGTTTGGAGTGTAAAGACTGTAGCTCTGGCTCTTCCATTTGTTAGTTTTGACCTTGAAAAAATTGCTTAGTCCCTCTGAATCTAGGTTTCTTCAACTGTATTGGGTTCTAGGGATAGGATTTGGGGAGATTAACTAAGATAAAATATGTGAGAAAACTTGGGAAACTAAAACACTATGCAAAGTTGGTTGTTATCACATCCTGTAAAATGAGGTAGGATATATACAGGTGCCAGTGACATGGCAAAAAACCATAAATAACTATGCTTAAAAGAAAAATGTTGTTCTTGCAGTGTATCAGGAATAGATGAGGGTGATGTGCTTTCTATAGGTGAAGCGAATCCTTTCAACCCTACCGGAGACCCTGACAGTCTGAAGTGGAAGGGTGGTGGTGGGGGAGGTGTATTGAACAGCTCTATCAGTTTACGAAGTGCTGCTACTCCTTGGTGTCTGTCATATCATCAGCATACTTCAATTTAAAATATGACTGCTTTTATAGATTCAATTTTTAAAGCCATTAATAATCAAAGAATAAATTAATCCGAACAAGAAAATCAAGCTTTGATTATCCATCTTGCCCTTCTTTGAAGGACCAGTTTTTCCCACCATTTTTCTCACTCTCTATAAAGCCTTCCATATATGTCAACCTTTTTCATTCTCCTCTTCTGAGATTAGCTGACTCCCTTTCCTATACCACACCGCAGTGTCCATTTTCCCCACCCTTGGGATCATCAAGACTGAAGTTTTTTTGAAGATCTGGAATGAGGGCTTTGTCAACACTGGGACTATGTGTGTTTTCTATTAGGAGGGGGACAGAGTGCAGTGTTTTCAAGTTCTGATTCTGGACTTATACAATCCAAGTTTTGATTCTGGGCTGAGACATTCACTAGCTTTGAGACCTTGAGCAAATCATTCAACCTTTCTGAGCTCAGTTTTCTTATATGTAAAGTGGGGAAAATAGCCATACCAGTCTCCTAGGGTTGTTTGAGAGCATTAAATAACACAGCACATGCTTTGCACGTAGTAAGCACTCAAAAAACCGTAACCAATCTTGTTATAAAAATGCAATCAATATTCATTGAATAAATAAATTTGATCTTCTACTGCCTTTTTTAATGATATAGACCGGGTAAACAAACCAGAGCTTCGAAATCATCATATTTTCAAATTTTGTTTGGGTTGGCGGCTTTTGTAAAGTGCTGAGAACAATGCTTATTACATAGTAAACACTATACGTTTTTGTTATAATTCATAAATTCATAAACAAATGTATTAACTGTAATAAATAAGTCTAGACTGAATTATTTCCAAATGCTGATGTCCGATGAGTAGAAGCAGCCTTTCCTTTCACAGGTGCTGAGGGAGCACGGGGTTCACAGAGCCCACAAGCATCCTCCTGACCAAAGAGGAAGACACAGCCCAGAGGTCAGGGTCCACAAGGAGACACCTCCAGAGCTGAAGTGGCAGAGGGGGAAGACCTGGCTTGTCTTTCCTCATGACACTTTGATATTCCACTATAACACTGGTCATCGGCAATTATAATCACTTTTTTAATATGTCTTCCCCACCAGACTGTATTTCTTGATGAGGGCAGTCTCAGGTCTGTCTCATTCATTGTTGTAACCCCAAGCACCTGGCATAGCACCTAGTACATAGAAGATGCTCAATAAACAAACACTAATTTAGTTCACTTCACTTCTTTGTGGGTCATCAATAAGATGGATTTAATTTTGTACACACTAGTCTGAAGAATGGAACTTCACAGAACCACCTCTCGAGTTCTTGCCCTGCTCTAAGGTTTTTGTTTCTGTTATTCAGTTCTCTCTCTAGAGCAGCATGCTCAGGGGTCTGAGATCTGGAAAGTATATATCCCATGGTGCCCTGGACCACTCCATAACAGATGCCTCATTGTTACTCCAGATAAAGGGACTTAGTGAGCAGCAACCAGAAGCCAGCACCAGGCATTTTACATATTGATCTCTTTCAGTTATTCCAGTAGCCCTGCAGGGCAGGCACTGACCTCATGCTTGAAAAATAAGGCAAGGAGAGGTTAAAAATCTTAATATGAGTTTATGGAATAAATAGGTGGCAGAGCAGAAACTAGAATCAGGGCTCTTTTCACTTTGCCATGTTGAGGCAAAATAGCAGCCCAGACAACCCCTGCAGCAGTCACGGCTCATAAAAGAAGACTCTCTCAGGGCAAGGTGGGGCAGTCATAGGGAGTGGTAAATGTGTGGAGCTAAATATGGAGCTAAATGTGTGGAGCTCCAGTGGTCTGGAGCTAAATATGTCACAAAAGGTGAGGGCTGGTGTAAAGTCCTGCCAGCTGCAGCACTTCCAAGTAAGGAGAGTAGACATCTGGCTTTGGCTGCTCTGCAGCCCCATTTACTCCAATTTCTGTCCGGGAAGCACCACTTTCCCACTCAGTTGCCAGGCCTCCTGTGGGTGTAAACCCATCAGAGCAATCCTGACACGTGATTGGCTAAGTGA